ACCACCGACTGGACGGGTGCGTCGCAGATGGGACCCACCCTGGGATGGCATGGCTCATATTTACTAGCAGAACAGGAGAGACAGAATGTTGGCTCCAGGTGGTTTGATTAAAGTTGGGAGGAACAACTGTGTGCCCAGCTAGTGAGGAGAGGAGCCTGAGCTCTACCTCCTCCAGCTCTGCCTAGGAGCTGCCTCCTGGCTCATCCTAAATAGCCCCATTGGATCGGGTGAGCAGCCAAAGCTAACCTGGCCCTCCGGCTGGAGTGACATAACCATGGCTGTGATCACCGCTGCAGCACATGCAGCTCTACACAGAGCTCTAGGAGGGTGGTTGGGAAAGGCTGGAGAAGCAGCAGCAATGATAGGACAGATGTCCCTGGGGTGCTGAGGTTCCGTGTCACGGCCTGGGGTGGTGCATGCTGTTCCATGCATGGGCGCAGGGAATGCCAGACTTTTCTCCACCCCAATGGTACCTGATTCCCCATTGCCCTATACACTGTGTCACTCACGCCTGTGCCAGCCATCCCCTGCTGAATTGTTAGCAGTTTACAGCCCCTTTATGCTGGTGTCAATGATGACAAAGAGAATTGGGCCAGTGATGGGCAGAAAAGTAGCAAGGGTGTTATGCACCTGGGGGCAAAGGCAAAATTTGCACTTTCCTTTTGCCACCACCGCGCAGCGGGGCCTGGAACCTGGAGCACAGCTGAGCCCAACCCTGGGAGGAGGGAGGGAAAGCTTGTAATGTGTCTTCCCCCACCCCCTTCAGTTTCAGGCCAGGCCCCTGAACACACTAACCCACCGGTGGAGATGGAGGAGGGTCAGGCTGGGGGAGGAGAGGTGGGGAGAAAGCTCCAGTCGCCGGCAACGGGTGGAGAAGGAGCAGGTGAGCTGAGAGATGATGGGGAGCAGAAAGGGATTAAATTAACACCCCCCTAGCATGGAGCCTGGAGGCAACTGCCCCCCCCCTGTTACTCCACTGGTGATCGGTGCTAGGCAAAAGCCCAGTGCAACAAACCCAGGAGACACCGGTCCCCTTAAGAAGAAAGGATCAACAGGGCAGGAGCCATGGACCAGCCACAAGTTACCAACACACAGCCAGATTCTGCAGTGTCCAGGCATTTGCATGGCAAAGTGGAGTAAAATGTTCTGCACTTCACATCCCTGTTGTATTGGTGTAAGGCTATGTCTAGACTGCAGGCTTCTTTCAGAAGACGCTTTTCCAGAAGAGATCTTCTGGAAAAACGTCTTCTGAAAAAGAGCGTCCCCACTGCAATAGTTCATTGAAAAAGCCATCTGCTTTTTTGAAAGAGAGCGTCCACATTGAATGAACGCTCTCTCACATTTAAGCTATGATTGCTATGGACGGAGTGGTGACCCGGGCACCTGTGTTTTTTCCTCTTCTTTTGAAAGAACTCCCTCTTCCCCGTCCACACATGCCTTTTTCAGAAAGAGCTCTTTCGGAACAGGGCTTCTTCCTCGTAGAATGAGGATTACTAATGTCGGAAAAACCCCTCTGTTCCTTCCATTTATTTTCAAAAGAACACGATTGCAGTGTGGATGTAACTCAAGTTTTTTTTTTTAAATGGCTGTTTTTTAAAAAAATAACTCTGGAGTTTAGACATACCCTAAGTGACTGCACAAGGACTCAGGCTACAGGTTCTGCTGTCAAGTAATGACACAGAACATCTGGCCTAGGCAGGGAGCCCAAAGACCTGCCACATTGGAGATCTGCTCCCCTGTCTGCCCACGGTCCTCAGCAGGGACAGTTGGGCTGAATCCCGGGAGAGAAGATGCCCATTAAAAAACCCAAATGCCTGGATGTAGCTGGAGACTGAGGGGAGAAGCGATGGGGGAAATGCAGGCAAGAATCCTATTCCAGTAACTAATCCTCTCTGGGAAATGGGAACGAAGATGCTGTCCCAGAAATATGACTTCTCAGTGGGTGTTTATCCCTATATGCAGTGTAGGGGGGTCCCTGTGGACCAGAGGGGAGCAGGGGCTGCAGAAGGGAGAGGCTGGGGCACTTCGTTTATTTTCCTAATCAAACAAAAGGCTTGTCATGGACCCAGGCGGCACCAGCGGGCAGACAAAGCAGGGGACGTGCATTTGCTCGGACGGCCTGTCCCTTCTTTCAGCTCAACCCACAGGGCTGGATCTCCAGCTCGGGTTACTGGGGCTGTTCTCCCCAAAGCAAGAGAGAGATGACAGGTGACGTGAACCGAGGAGCGGGCTCACCGAGGGCCGCCCCACATTTGGCTCGTGCAATGTCGCCAGCTCTGGCAATTCTATGAGGAGTCTTGTGATACCTGGGGCTTTCCTTAAAGCCTCATCTCCTGCAGTCTTGTGAGTAGGGGAGAATCTCAGCTGTGAAAAAAGTGGACTTCTAGCCCCCTCCCCACCCTGGCCACTGAGAGAAGCTGATCCGCTGACCCACAGACGGCTCAAAAGGCAGAGGGAACATAAACAGACACCGACATTTTTTTAAAACCATCTCCTTGTTTTAAAGCCAGTGGTGGGATTTCAGATGAGGCCATGGGGCGAGCCATGTTGCGTGTGCCACTTGAGGTGGCAGTCCGGCAGGTGAGGCTGTGGTGGGCGGGGGGTCATTTGAGCTACTCCTCCTTGAGGAATTGCTCTTCACTGCTAGGATTGCCAGGTGTCTGGTTTTGCACCGGACAATCCAGCATTTGAGCTTT